TTCCAGCCCACCTTGTAGACTATTTATATTGATGACTATCACTAGATTTTTTTTTTAATTTATTCATTTATACATATAAGAACTGGGATACAGGCCAGAGGTGCGGGGTGGGGGGTGCTGGTGAGAGGATTCACCAGAGACAGAGTGGGGAATAGAACAGGCAGATTGACTGAAATACACTGCTGCTTAGTGGGCAAATCAGGAGATGTCTGCTGCACCATGTAGGTCACCTCCCTGGTGGGGGAATCAAACTCATGCTACAGATCAAATTTATGGCTACAGATTGCTTCATAGTGCTGCGACTTAACCCCTTGCACCACCAGGGAGGCCCTGTTTCATTTTTTTAAATAGATTTAACATACAAGAACTGGGGTGCAGGCCAGAGGTGCGGGGGATGAGAGGATTCACCAGAGACAGTGTGGGGAACAGAACAGGCAGACAGACTGCAATACACTGCTGAGAGGAGCAGCGGGTGAGTCAGGAGAGGTCTGCTGCACCATATGGTTGCTCCCTGGCCAGCTGGGATCAAACTCGTGCTGCAGAGGCTGTGGATTGCTTCAGTGCTGTGCTTAACCCCTTGCACCACCAGGGAGGCCCCCCCCCCCTTTTTTTAACATCTTAAAAGGACAGGGTTATTAGCAAAAGAAGAGGCACCTGCATAGTCACAGGCAGGTAGGGGAGCTGCTAGAAGATAATTATTAAGAGAAAGAACTGTCTCTATCCAAATAGCTTGTTATTTCTTGAGCTTTTGATGTGCTTAGTCAGTTTCTAATAAACCAATGAATATTAAGATCTTAACAGGCTTTCTTAAGCCTGTTGGCAAATCCAGGTGGGAAGCAAAATATAAACTTGGTGAGCATGGCACTAGCTCAGATGACTTGGTGACTGATGTTAATGCCTGAGGCAGGCATCTCTTCTCAGAAGGAATGAGCCACAGGGGCTTACTTATCATGACCGGTACCATTTCTCACTGATGGCTGCAGCAATGGGGAACTTGGGAAAGGCTTTTGGCTCTCCTCAAGCCCTCATTTTAAGTTTTAACTATGTTCACATAGTAAACCTTAAGTTTCACTTAGTTTTCATTAGTTCACTTCTCAGTTACTCGTGAAAATTCAATCTTAGGAGAATATTTATCAGCGTAATTTCAAGAAAAATCCTAGAGCCCTCCCTTCCAAGCAGATTACTGTTCCTAAGCCCTACTGCAAAAAGATTCATTCCTCTACATGGTTGCTTAATCAATTAACATTTGCATGGCTAATTGCTAAATGCTGAAAGCATGAGAGTGGATAAAAAGCAAAGATAAAAATTGCTGCCCTCCTGGAGCTTACATCTAAAGAGAGCAAGACGGGCCTCCCCTGTGGCGCAGCGGTTGAGCGCTGGGTTGCGAAGCTGCCCGCAGCCTCTGCAGCGCCGGTTCAATCCCCAGCTGCTCCCCGGCCACTGGAGGAGGGTCCCACATGGTGCGCAGACATCTCCTGCCGCCCGCTGCTCCCCTCTGCCTGCTCTGATCCCCGCTCTGGCTCTGGTGAATTCTCTCACCCTCCCACGCTTCTGACTGTACCCAGTGCTTGTATAAATAAATAAATAAACAAACAAACAAACAAATAAATAAATAAGTCTTCAAAAAAAAAAAAAAAAATAAAGAGAGCAAGACAAGAGATAAATAAATGGGCCAGGGAGGGGCCAAGGAGACATACTGAGGGTGGGCTAAGAGTGTGGCAGTTTGAAGTGTCAGGGAAGGCATCATTGAGAAAACACTTTAGCAAAAACCTTAAGATGTGTGCATTATTTAGGGGAAGAGCATTCTAGATAAAGGAATCATTAGTGCAAACAGCTAGAGAATGGAATGCTGTATGCAAGAATAGGCAGAGGCTAATGTAACAAACAAAGCAAGTAAAGTAGTTTAAAAAAAAAAAAAAAAAAAAGAGGTGAGAGAAGTAGGCACTCAGAAAAGTAAATTTATCCCAAGGGCAATAGAAGGTATTGCAGGGTATAAAGCAGAGAGAAAAATAGATGGGGTGTGGTAGTGTACAAGTAAGATAAAGGTGATTGAGGCAGCACATATAGGAGCAAATTAACTGTATGCAACCAGACCCTTAAGTTGAAATGGCTACCAGAAAAACAGAAGCTTATCTTGTAGGAAGCACTGAAGAATTTCAGAAAACAATGGTTTCCAAGTAAAAATAAGCAATATTTATTGTATGATGCCATACAATGTGCGATGTAAGATTTAAGAGAATTTTATGTATGACAGCTTTATTTACTTGAAGATGACTATCTGAGTGGATTAGTTTACAGGGACTAATTGGACATATTAGAGGTGCTTGGGAGGAAGGCTGATTAAGCATTCATTGAAAGTGTTTGGAAGAATCAAGGAGTTGGATCAGATGAGGTTTTTTATAAAGAATGCAAAAGTAAATTGACATTTTTTTTCTGGCAAGAATTCTCATTTAATTTGTTGATACTGGATTATATATGCAGAACTGAATTAAGTGATGATCTAGCAAAGGATATAAATATAAGCAGAAAGGTTCCTACATTTTTATTTCACATATTTAAGAGCTTTAAATTTTTCTATGTAATCCTGAAATTTTTGCCTTTCTTTTACAATTATTTTTGGCATGTGTAGTTTCTGACTTCAGTGTCTTGCTCAAGCTTAACACTGGTTCCTTCTTAAAACCCTGTAAGCTATTTGCTGCTCCTAAGTCATGGAAACCTTCTATATTATGGCGAAATATTTGCTCATCAAATATACAGAGAAAGTCAAATATTCCTTTCTCTTAGTTTTGAGGAACCCAGTCTTTATAAAATATGTAAATTTGTTTTTCACTGACTGGCCAGCTTTACTAAATGGTGCCCCTGAACCTTGAGGGCTACTTAGCTTCAATGCCAAAATTTCAGAAGGTAGTTTTGTCAACTTGAAAAATAGATACCAAGAAAGAAGTAATTCCATCCATTGTTTGTGGACTGTGTACCCCCTCCATTTAAGTGCAAAAGAGATTGGATCTAATTTTTTTTAGAAGATTACATCTCAGATCCCTATCTGTAAAATAGGTAGAACAGCAATTGTTACTTAGAAGATAGAAATCCTAATAGAATTCTTCTGCATTCTAGGCAAGCAAGTGAAATTAAAATTCTTAGCACATTGTCAAGCATATAAAAAGGCTTAGCAAATGTTAGCAACTATCATGTAATCCCTTGTGAAGAGAATAGCACTTCACTCTACAAATGAGGAAAAAGACTAGAAGTGCCATAATGACCCACAAGTATTCACAGAGCTGAAATTAGTTCATTGCAGTATGTACTTAGGCTTTTGTTATGCCATTCTACAAAGTGTGGGGATGAAAAAATGAAGTGTACACACACACACACACACACACACACCCCAGGCGTGCGCGCATGCACGCAAGCGCACACACATGCTGCCTGCTCACCAGATTATAGGACTTGGAAGTACAGAAAAAGCTATGAAATTGAGAGTAATATGAAAAGTACCAAAATATCCCAAAGGGGCAAAGACCAGGGTACCCTGGTCTGTCTGCTCACAGCACTCCAAAGCCTGTGTCATCTTGTTGGTATGACCATATTCACGTAGGGACTATAAAGATTCCTCTTCAGGGCTTCCCTGGTGGCGCAGCGGTTGAGCGCTGGGTTGCGAAGCTGCCCGCGGCCTCTGCAGCGCCGGTTCAATCCCTGGCTGCTCCCCGGCCACCAGAGGAGGGTCCCACATGGTGCAGACCTCTCCTGCCGCCCGCTGCTCCCCTCAGCAGTGTACTTCGCTTCTGCCTGCTCTGCTCCTCGCTCTGGCTCTGGTGAATTCTCTCACCCTCCCGCGCTTCTGACTGTACCCAGTGCATGTATAAACAAGCAAACAAACAAATAAATGAGTGAATAAAACATGCCTCTATAAAAAAAAAATAAATAAAAAAAAAAGATTCCTCTTCAAATGTAAAGGTAGACTCAATGTGATCCCTCTCTCCCATCTTATACCTTAAAAGACTTATTTATTTATGCATATAAGAGCTGGGGTACAGGCCAGAGGTGTGGGGGGTGAGAGGATTCACCAGAGACGGAGTGGAGAACAGGACAGGTGGACCAACCGAGGTACACTCCTGAGGGGAACAGCAGGCAAGTCAGGAGAGGTCTGCTGTGCCATATGGGTTGCTCCCTGGCCGGCTGGGGAATCAAACTTGTGCTGCAGAGGCTACAAACAGCTTCACAGGTTACATCCTAACCCCTTGCACCGCCAGAGGCCCTCCCATCTTACACTTTACTTTGTATGAGTACACAGATTGCTGAATTTTAAAAAATGTAGACCATTTACATTATTCATCACTAGTTTATATGGAAGAACATGAAAACCTTTAAAAGATGATACTCAGAATATGCCTTGAAGGGCTTTCCTAGAAAAGAAGCAATTTTAAAAAAAGCCATAATGTTAGTGGTTAATTCTCTAGCACTTCAACAAAGTATGCCTCCCAGCTATTGAGGTGAAGAGTCAAACTTATTTCCTAGAAACAGTACAAAAGACTGCACCCATAGATCCAAACCTAATCACTTTGAGCTTAATTCCAGAAAGGACTGGAGGACTAACACCTAAAGAGCTGGAAACAAAGACACATACACTTCCAAGTGTGGATTTTTATTTTCACAAAGAGACAAGAATGCCGTCCCACATACAAGTATTTACAAAAACCCAACTGATTCACGAATCTAGAACCTGGGTTTTTCCATTTCTCAACATAGTTGGGAACATGGAAACATTAATACCCACACAATCCCCATAGATGGAATTTATCCATCAAACAGTGCAGATTACCTAAAAGTGCACTTACCTGCACAACTCAGTCTAAGAACTCAGTGATACAGACCCCATGGCAAAGGTTTCATTAGTCTATTTGGTTTCATACCATGCAAACCTGAACAAGTGTGCTGCTACACTAAACTGAAAATCATTTCTCATTTTACAATTAAAAATGTTCTCAACGCTTTAGCAACTATACAGAATATGAAGGTTTATTTCAAAAAAGAGTACATTTTTTAAACCAGGAAACACAGATGCACTTAATGTAACAGTACCTTCTGCAAAAATAGGTTACATAATACTCAGAAATGCAAGAACAATCTTATTCTCTAAAAATTAGACAGAAGACATTTAAGCTTTGACAGCCTTCAAAATGGAGACTGAAAATGCTTGGTGAAAAGAAATAATTCTAAAGCCTGACACCATAGAGCTAATGCTGAAATTAAACTACTACCACACATCCTCAAACTACTCTTTATATTCACACGGCATTAAACAAAAATGGTTTTGATGCCAACCTTTCAAATGTGTCTTGGTGCTGCAAGGAAAAGTTGAATGATACACAAAACTATTAAAAGTTACAACAGAACTATTTAAACATCTTCTCCAAAATTGAGAAAAGCAATTATGTTAAATTTTTAAAAAAGAAAAAAAAGTCTGGCAACTCTCAAGCAGTCAGAGGTCCTCTTCAGAATTTGTCAAGTAAAGTTTACAGGAGATTTCAATAAATTATCTTGAAACCATGGTAGAGAGCTAACTTTTCAGAATCGTCGTGGAGGTCCACTTTTAAATGGCTTAAATCCGGAGCCACTTCCTCTTTGCATGGAATTGCCACTGATTTGTACAATTCTATTAATTGGGGATGCAGTACTGAAAAAGGTTTAAAAGAAAAAAAAAAAAATCAGAGACCAAAAGAATAATTACATCAATACCTGCAAAGTGTACTGTTCTATTTGTCCCTACTAAGTAATTTAACATTCCTATATGGTATGTACCAGTACTAACGCCACTGATAAGGAAACTGAGATATGGGGGTTAAGTGACTAGCTTAAGATCAGAAAGTGAGGGGGCCACCCTGGTGGCAGCAAGGGATTAGTTCAATCCCCAGTCAGGGAGGTGACCCACATGGTGCAGCAGACCTCTCCTGTCTCTCCCACTGTTCCCCTCAGCAGTGTTTTTCAGTTAGTCTGCCTGTTCTGTTCCCCACTGTCTCTGTGAATCCTCTCACCCGCCCCCCACCTCTGGCCTATACCCCACCTCTTGTATGCATAAATAAATAAATCCTTAAAAAAAATCAGTTGGTAAATAGTGGCAGGAGGATTTGAACTTGGGCAGCTTCACTTCAAAGCCTCTTAATATGTTAGTTAATGGAATGCACATAAATGGACTGAAGTAGAAGCCCTCAAAGTATGATCCCCAGATCAGTAGCATAAGCATGAACTAAGAATTTGAATCTCTGAGCTAGAGAACATCATTCAAGAAATATTTTTGGAATTTTTTTATATGTGTAATTCGAGACAGCAGGTACTAATGAGAGATATAGGAAAAAGACCTGTCCAAAAACATTATCACACATCTGGGAAATAAAAACAACATACGGTGAAAAGGCTTAAAAAAATTAAAAGTAGATTATGTAAAGGTTTATATGCCAGGCTGAGGAATCTGGATTAGATACTGTGACCCAGAGAAGCTGCTTGTGGTTTTGGAGCAAGTAAATGACACAAGAACAGTTAGACAACTTTTAAGTTTATTAGTAGTATGAATAATGAAGCAAGAAAAAGACTAATCAGATAGATGTTAAAAGTGAGGGAGAAAGAGCTGCTACATATTTAAAAGAAACTGAAACACACTTAAGAAATTTATGCTAGGAAGAAAGAAAGATAAAGATGTGTCCCATGTTTTTCAGTCTGGGTAAATACGATATCTGGTGGCACTGGCAAATTTTAAAGGCTGGAGGCAACAAATGAACATGAAGATTTCAAACATGAAAGGACTTAAGCTTTGGCCTTAAATTTATGGAAGCAGCAAAGCATTTACATGAAGATCAGAATATAGAGCTAAAAATAAATAGCAGTGTCTAAGGTTTAACCATTTGAAGGAGTCATGAAAGGAAGTAAAAAGGTAGAAAATTATGACGCATTAAAGAACAGAAGGGGGCCTCCCTGGTGGCACAAAGGGTTAAGATGCAACCTATGAAGCTATCCGCAGCCTCTGCAGCATGAGTTCAATCCCCCGGCCGGCCAGGGAGCAACCCACATGGCGCAGCAGACCTCTCCTGACTCGCCCACTGCTCCCCTCAGCAGTGTGTTTCTGTCAGTCTGCCTGTTCTGTTCCCCGCTCTGTCTCAGGTGGAGCCTCTCACCGCCCGTACCTCTGGCCTGTGCCCCTGTTCTTGTATGCATACATAAATCAATCTTAAAAAAAAAAGATAAAGTTAAAAAAAAAAAAAACAGAAGGGTGTTTCGTACAAGGTAAAGCAACAGTGTGAAAGCAAACACAACAGTGTTTATCCACCAAGGAGTTCAAGAACTAAGGCTATAAAAGAATCTGTATTTATAAAAGAAAAAGACATTGATGATCTTTAAAAAACTAAAGGAAATGAGAAATGAGGCTGTGCAAACACAAGTATAGCAAACAGGTTAAGTTTGATGGTAGAAGTGACTAATAAAATAGTAGTAAAGTCAGTTGAGCCAAGTCAGTATCATTTTTTTTTTTTTAAGATTTATTTTTAATTTATTTATGCAGTTTAACTGGATTGTAGGCCAGAGGTGCAGGGGGTGAGAGGAGTCACCAGAGACAGAGTAGTGAGCAGAGCAGGTGGGTCTACTAAAATATACTGCTAAGGGGAGCAGTGGGCAAGACAGGAGAGGTCTGCTGTGCCATGAGGGTCAGCTCCCTGGCTGGGGATTGAACTCATGCCACAATGGCTTGCAAAAACTTGATAGTGCTAAGACTTTAACCCCTGCCCCACCAGGGAAGCCCAAGCCAAGTCAGTATCTTTTTTAAGACAGGGGAATAGGAAAGATGGAAAGGCATGGAAGAGAGGGAACGACCTAAGACTTGCCAGCTGAAGGGCCAAAATGGATGTTGGTGTAAAGTGAAAATAAAGTTTGTCTCTTAGCAAATGATCAGCCTTTAGATTAAATGTCCACAAGTTCTGCTAGTTTTAAAAGGGAAGAAGCAGAACATTCTTTTGTTTTCTTCTTCCTTTCTAGGAATTTTAAGAATGATAGGCATTAACCAAAAAACGGGTCCAAAAAGAAGTTAATGTTCATTATCTTTTTTTTCTTGTACTTTTTATTTATATTATTGGCTCTCTTTTTCCCTGAAGATTTAGAATTAAGATGGGGAAATGTCTGGGCAGACCTACGGCTGTTACTAGTTCAATTCAATCTCTTAGAAACTATAATGACCTTTAAGGAAATGATAAAGGATTTGGTTGTGTGCTGGTACTCAAGTCTTAACTGACTTACCTTCCATGTTGGGTTATCATGCCTGCTCCTGTCCGGCCATCACCCATTCGCCTTGCATCATGATAGCTAGGCCCTTGAGAAGGTGGACCATGCCACTCTTTCCTTGGTCCACTTGTGTCTCGTCCATGCCGTTCCACTACATGTCGTTCTTCAGGATAGTGCTAAAAAAAAAAAAAAAAAAAAAAAAAAAAAAAACCAACAGGATATTAAAAGTCATGACACCTTCAACCGCACATCAATTTATTTATGTTGGCGTGCTTTTAATGTCAGAAGCAAATTAGTAAGATGTCTGAGAAAAGAATGAATACAACAGCTTATGAAAAGGGTTTCCATCTATTTTATATTGGGAAGTTAGACAGGTCAAGGTAGTGTGAGGGAAAGTATTCAGCACTATAATTTCTATTTCTATATCTGCTAGCACCCACTGAATCACAGAGTATTTCTGGATATATCTATAACGCCTACAACCACACATATTAAGAAGGCATAGTGAGAGGTCAAAACCTTAAGACCATTCAGGGTAGGGTATATGATCAACATATAAACACACATACAAACAGGATCTGTCACATTATTTTAAACTGTAGTAGTTGTGCCATGACTCTTACAAGGTCCCACAATTCATGACTAGGAAAAAGAGAGAGGTTAAATATCAATGAACAAAAGCCACAGAACTAAGAATCTAAGGAAAGAAGTGTTAAAAATTATGATACTTAGCCTACAGAAAATAAAACTGAAGGTACCCTACAGAGATATAATATTGGCAGAACAACTTGTAAACAAACATGACAAACAGAACTTTCAAGGGAGGAAAAAAATCTCCTCAGGATACTGTTTCTGAAAGACTATCTGAGAATACAGAATTGTAATCCATGAGACTGTCTTAAACTTTACTCTAAATAAGGCAGAGGGCCTCCCTGGTGGCCTAGGGGTTAAGTCTCAGTGCTATTACCATGATGGCCTGAGTTTGATCCCAGCCAGGGAGCAAACCCACATGGCACAGCAGATCTCACCTGTCTTGCCTGCTGCTCCCCTCAGCAGTGTATTTCAGTAAATCTGCCTGTTCTGCTCCCCATTCTCTCTCTAGAGAATCCTCTCACCCCCAGCAACTCTGGCCTATATCCCAGTTCTTCTATGCAAAAAAAAAAAAAAACCAAACAAAGAAAAAAACAAAACAAAATAAAACAAAAATAAATAAGGCAGAGTCTCTGGGTTAGGCAGAGTCCCAGTCTTAAAAGTTCTGTTCAGAGTAAACAATTCAATGAGCTAATCTACTTAATTTCTATTTATCACAAACATGAAAACTTGTAATGCAGGCTCAGTTCTGTTTCACAAATGCTCAAGGTGAAATGGAAAGTGTATGGTATTATTAGAATGACAAAAGACTGAAACTTTTCTAGAAAAAATAAGTTGCTATAAAACCTAATATGTATGTTTTTTTTTTTTTTAAAGATTTAGATTATTTATGCATAAAAGAGCTGGGGCACAGGCCAGAGATGCAGGGGGTGAGAGGATTCACCAGAGACAGAGTGGGGAGCAGAACAGGCAGACTGACTGAAATACACTGCTGACGGTAGCAGCGGGTGAGACAGGAGAGGTCTGCTGTGCCATGTGGGTAGGTCCTTGGCAGGCCAGGGATCAAACTCTTGCTGCAGAGGCTGTGGATAGCTTCAGTGCTGTGCTTAATCCCTTGCGCCACCAGGGAAGCCCCCCTAATATGTATTTTAAACACAAAACAGAGCAATAAGTATAGTGCAGGTTGACGGATGGATAAATACATACAATGCATACACAGTTCAGAATTTTTCAGTATACAAGGGGATATTTGATATCTGCTACTGTCAACCCATATGCCAGTATTTCATCAATAGAATGTTTCCAAATTTGGTAAAAGGGCTTTTGCTCATTTGAGTGGCTAAGAAATATTCACTGCCCAGGTTCACTGAACGTAAAAATATTCAAGTCAATAAAGTGTCACAAGAGTAAAAAGCAATTAAAAAATATAAAATAGGGCCTCCCCGGTGGCGCAGCGGTTGAGCACTGGGTTGCGAAGCTGCCCGCAGCCTCTGCGGCGCCGGTTCGATCCCCGGCTACTCCCCAGCCACCGGAGGAGGGTCCCACATGGCGCGCAGACCTCTCCTGCCGCCCGCTGCTCCCCTCAGCAGTGTACTTCGGTCCTTCTGCCTGCTCTGCTCCCCGCTCTGGCTCTGGTGAATTCTCTCACCCTCCCGCGCTTCTGACTGTACCCAGTGCTTGTATAAACAAACAAACAAATAAATAAATAACATGCCTCTATAAAAAAAAAAAATTAAAAATAAAAAAAATTAAATATTCTACTCACCTATCCTCAGAAATAAAAAAATGGAGAGAAGTTTTCTTTCAGTTCTATACTCTAAACTACCTAACGATGAGGGAGAATATTTTAAAAAAGGAAAAAAAATGAAAGGGGCCAAAGACTTCCTTTCCAGTTTAAAGACCTCAATTTCTTAAAAAAGAAATAAAACCAAAGTCATCATTAGAAAGGCAATATCCGATATAACAAATCCTCAATTTTCAGCAGGAAATTAGTAAAAATGGAATGACTTATAGGGTTTATTACTTTATTTCTTTGGACTATTGGTGTTCAGCTACTGACTGTAAAATATGAGAAATGTTAAGATCTTTTACAAGAAATGTTTCCCAGTCATTCCAATGTAACTAGTTGAGGCCACATCAAAATGACACCATATATATTACACACAGACTATCTCATCAGTCCTCTTAATTTTCTTTTGAAGAGTAGACAATAAACCTTCAGACATATTTACCTGAGCTCCACTTCCTCGGTCTGTGATGACTCCTCTGTCTGCCTCTCTGCTTCCATAGCCTGAAGCATTACTCCGAGTCCCAGGGGGAGCCCCTCTCACACTGTGCCCTGATACTTCTCTCCCAGATCGTTCTGGCCTTTCAACTCTGTTTAACAAAACCCCAAAACACATACTATCAAAATGCTGTTGTAATTTTTTGTTTTGAAACCCAAATGCATTATATACCATTAGGCAGGCATTTAAAACTACGGAAATACCTTGTTTCCCTTTTGTCAGTAGACATGCCTCCTTCACCTTTCCAGGTGGTTGGTCTAGATGGATTGGGCCCTGCTTCTCGAGGATGTCTAGAATGCGTGATATCAGGCCTATCATGAATGATGACAGTTCTTCTCTCATCTCGTTCCCCTCGTACTTCTCGCCTGTCTGTTTCTCTAAGATCATTTCTTGGTGGTGGAGGTTCATTTCTTCTGGAATCACTGAAATTTTTGGGATACCTTTCAAAACCTGGATCTTCTCTTCGTGTAGGACGCGCTTTTTTCCCTTCACTTTGACCAACAAAGCGTTCTCGCCTATTGATCATCCAAAACAAAGAACATAGGTCCTAAGAAATACTTACTTGGCCACATTCATCTTAACTTTATTTACATAACCTATAATAAGAACACTTTTAAAAACTCACTTAAAGCAAAGTCACCCAAAAAGTCACAATTATTGATTATATTAAATCATATCCTTTCAAACTGAGCTAAATGACTGGCATAAAGGTTGGTTTTTTTTTTTTCCCCAGCATCTAGGAGGAACTACATTGAAAACTCACACTACTATGAACATGAAGGAATGTTTGTAAAAGGAGGACGATTTCTTGTTCTTAACAGCTGAGGCACATCCAAAGCTAACAGTATTCCCACATAGCTTGAAAGGGTAAGAAGATAAAGCCTAATACTTAACCATGACATGGCAGCTGAATTAAACCAATTTTGAATACTGAACCACATTCCCTTTAACAAAAACAAAACAATTTGTTCTGAACACATAGTTCTGACATGTAAGTCTTAAGATTTTCTTAATGGAAAACCCAAACTTATCATTAGCAAGTCTCATGTAGCAAATATTACAATTTTTATCTATCTACCTTTCAAAAGATGAAGACTGTACTGTTGAACTCTCAGGAAACCTGCCCCTCTCTCGATGATCAAAGTCATTAAATCTGTTCTGCTGGCGAGAGTAGTCAGATCCATGTCCAAATCGTGCATCTGTATCTAGAGACAACTTTTTATTCTCACTCCAGTAAGGATCATCTCGCCTTAAAGAAAAATATTTGCTCATGAGCAATCAGCACTCATTTGGAGTTATACATACCACATGCTAGGAACTCTGGATATAAAGGGCTAGTAAGCTCAAAACACTGTTACAAGAACAAGCTAGCAAAGAATTATTAAATTACATTAAGAGGAATTTTACAGGATTGTTTAAAATTATTAAATGGAAAAGACCAAACACTTGAATCTATTTTATAATGAAATTCTAACCAGCAGCCCACCCATTTTTAGCTATACTTAACTTTGTGAGGGGTAGAGATGTCCCAAGCACCTTTCATTCATTCTATTTCTCAACAAAATCAATTGAATCTCACAGAATTAATATGAATACAATGTTTATATTTTGAAAAAAGTGTGAACACAAAAATACAATATAATCTACACTTTAATCCTGCTAAGTTTATGACTTCCATTTTCATACTATCTGCACTACCTTATAAGAATTTTCAAAATGGGCAAAAATTTGAGAATCGTCATTGAAACCTACTATAACCCAGTATACATTCCCAGTCATGATGGAAAAATATTTGGCATTAGGAAGAGAAAAAGGGAAAAGCACTGCCCTACTAGTCAATGCACTGGGTCCATTCCAGTACCACAATCTCCCCCAACCCTGCTGATCATGGCTTTTTTTATTCCAGGTTGTCTGTATTTCTCTAGTTAGTCCTAGGTTGAAAGAGAAATAAGACAATTTGTGTAACTGTTAAAGAAGAAAATAAGCAACTACCTATGATCTACATCACGTGGGCGTTTCAAAGAATTCCTTTTCTCTTGTTCATAACGAAGCTGCTGCTGTTGCCTTCTCAATTCTTCTCTTTCTCGGGCAATACGTTCAGCTTCCTTACGTCGTTCCTTCAGACAACACAGAATGAAGAACCAACCAATGCAAAATGAAAACATAAGGTAAATATATATGCAAACTTGTTTTAATCCTGTCATTAAGAAACCATCATAGGCAAGCACCAGGCAAAACATATACCTGGGACAAATAAACAGATTTGATTTCAGTAATCAGTGATCTATGCTATGGTTTTGTTCTGCAACATTAAAAAAATAGTAATGACTGGGTGATGAAAGTAATTAAGGCAAGCAAATAAGGAGGTCAGATTTAGTTTAATCATTTGACTGAATCAAAGAACCTAAAGGGAATTAGAAATACAATTCTTAATATGTATGGAGATTAAGTGCCTTAAAGTCCTGGATGCAATTCTGCAAAGAGAGGCATTATTTCCTTCCAGCCTTGGGAAATCATTCCCACTATAATATGTAAGGAAGCAGTTATATTTCCTAAGACTGGGATAGTGACAGAGCCTGGATTACAACTACTCTGGACTCATAGTCCTATGCTCAGACTATTAGGCTGCCATGAAATTGCAGAGCTCAGTTATTACCAATTAGCTAGAACAAAGTCACAACTAAAGGATTTTTAACTAGCACCTAATTCATTATTATCTTTCAGGGACATTTAATAAAAGCTCATAGTTTAACTCATTGTATAGAAGCTTTACAACAAGTAAAGCAAATTTTAGGGCAAAATCACAGGGTTTGAAAAAGGTCAGTTATTTAAGATGAAAAGATTTTCTGACTGCACCTGTTCAATACGAATGCGTTCCCTTTCCAAGCGTTCGCGTTCCATTCTCTCTCTCTCTAGTTTTTGCCTTTCAATTTCTAGGCGCTCTCTCTCTCTCTGTAAGCGTTCCCGTTCTTCCCGTTCACGAATTATTCTAATGCGTTCTCGCTCTCGACGCTCTCTTTCTGCAATTTCTCTTCGTCTAACAAAAATCAGTATTTAGAAATACTTAAATTATGCTAGCACTGTGTGAAAGAGAATAGCTTCTGAATTTGAATTTTTCCTTGAGGCTGGAAATTTTAAGCTTCAACTCTAAGTTGTTTTAATGTAACTGGAAAGAGAACTTAAAATAAAACTTTAAACATTCCAATACTATTACTTATTTATTAAGACTGTCAGCTGAGCATGTGAATTTTATAGAGTTGCCTCTTAGAAGATTCCTGTTTAAATAAAAATCCCACTATAATAATAGCCCATTAATTAATTGACATTTTAAAATGGATATTCTACACATATGAATTTCCAAACCTACAACTTGTAATGTTTTTAAGAGAAAAATTTCCATTATCTAATATACAGCCTATTTCTTTAGACAAGGTATACCTTATTTTGATAACTTGGGATCATAACCATCAACATGAATTGTAACATTATGCTATAAGTAAAATGGTTGCCTTTAAGGACTCTTGGAATGCTCACTGGCAAATAAAAGATGGGTCCAGGCAACATGCTTTTTTGAGTCAGGAGCTAGTTCATAAGTTTGCCCATCTGATAAAGTTACGATTTTTAATCATGTTTTTTGTCAATTCCTCACTCTAAGGAAGGCAGTATACTTTTACCTATAAGCATGTTTTCCTCTAACCCAGTAATTCTTAATGGACTGCCCCCATGGAAATGTGAGGGGCAAATTCAATTATCTGAAGGGCATTTAGTGGGAAGGGACCAAAGATTCTAAATAACCTATGATGCATGGAATAGTGAGGATAGTCCTACACAATAAAAAACTATCCAACACTCCTAATACCTTTCAAATGCCAAAAGACATTCAAGCCATTAAAACAAAACAGAATAAAATCCTTAAAAAAAAATTCTGAGCCTAGAACTTAACACATTTTTAAAAAATGCTAGGTTGGTTTGTTTTCTAAAATTTCCAGGAATGTAACTCCACGTAAAAAAGGGCAAAGTTGTATTTTATTGAGAAGTTGAAGAGTTGTTCATCATTTCAGAAATCCTGTCATAATGTCAACAGCACTCCTGGTATGACTTTATCAGTCTATTTCTAGCTTTCACATTCTCAGGAGTCTAAAGAGAGGTGCAAACGTCTGACTACAACACTAGGCCTCTAAACAATCATGCCTAGAATGTCATATTTGGAATATATGTTTCATGAAAGGCTTTATTTCTCCTTTGTATTAGAGTTAATGACACTCAGTTGATTTTTAAAAGTTATTTGTACAGATAGGTACATTGTTATCAATTTCATGGTAGGATAGTAGAGTGAACTGCAACTTTTTTTTTATTTATAGAAGGGGTGTTGTCTAACTAGGGGTTGAGAATCTTTGCTCTATTAGGCTCCTACCAACATTCTCCTCCCAACTTGTTATGTAAGGAGGAGGGAAAGCATGTTGGGGCTTCATCAAAAGAAAAAAATAATAATAAAAGAGAACATGGGTTCTGAGCAATACAAAGATTATTTTCTTTTAGTAAAGTGTGTGACAATCACAGCATCATTTCAGTTGCTTAAACTACCCTCTGGCGTTTCCTAATATTCTTGAGAATGAATAAATAAAACTCCTTTTAAGTGACCTCTCAAAATAATAGGTTAATATTTGGAAAAAACATTCACAAGAATCCTTTATGTGACACTCAAAAATTAATATAGGGAAGCAAATGGGCACTCATGGACTTCTGAGATACTGCCTCTATAAATAGAAATGTTTCGTTCTGTTTGTTTTAAAGAGAATGCTTGCTTTTGGACACAGCTTGAACATATTAAGAATCACAGGGCAAACCTTCCTTCACTTGGGCTCTAATTCAAAGTACAATAAATTTTCCCTAAAGTGTCAACATACTTTTTAAAACATTGTAGTTTATGTTGAGACTATCATATCTCAAAATCAAGTTTTTCTTTAAAGTCATGATTTTTATGGCGGCAGCTTTGGAGTAGAGGAAAGAGCATTGGACTTGGAGTCAGAAGACTTGGGTCTGAGTCCCGACTCTGCCACTCATTAGCCTGGTGGCAATGGAAGAGTCATTTAGCCTCTCTGGGCCTCCATTTTAAAAAGTATATAAATGGCATAACTAACTTAAACTGCTGGAGATAGAGATAATAAATGGAACAGTATTTTTGTACATTGTAAAATGCTATGCAAACTTAAGAAACCGTTAGGTATAATCGCACTGCTGAGAAGTGGCAGTTTTTTGTGGGAGTACAACTTCCAGGAATTTGGCTTATAACTAGTGTTAAAAATGCACCTAATAGTAAAAGACGGGTATAAAATAGACTTTCTCCTACCTTCGAAGTTCCATTGCCCGTCGCAATCTTTCAAAACGAACCAAATGTTCTCTCAATCTTTGTTCCTTCATCTTTTCAAAAGGCAAGATGTCTTTCCTTCTATAGTCTTTATCCCTTTTTTTATCTAGGCTAGCTCTCTCTTTTTCCTTGCTTCTTGCATGAATCTATAGAAAAAAATTATAATAGAACTAGAAATTTAAATAATTTTGGGTTTTGTTTTTCAAGTTTAGCTGGTCATTTAAAAAACTTAGACATATAATGGTATTTTTCTTAGATTTTCTACCACAGAAGTATGCAAAACTGGTCAGAGATACTGAATTATCTTTTCTAAGAAAAAAGTAGCATAGTATACAACATCCCTCTCAGAGACTTACTGTCTCATATCTTCCTCTTCTTGATGGCCTACAATGATCGCCTTTAGTTTGGTCTAGAATTACCATATGTCCTGGACTCTTTGAACCTATGAGGAAAAAAAAATTAAACAAAGGTCTAAATTTTCCTTAAGAAAGAAAATAAATGTAAAAATGCTGTATTTCAGTCATAATTATGAAATGAAAGAACTACTTATTCTATGAAAACTGAAATGTAAAATATTTTTTTAACAATTACTCAATCTCTTAATATAAATACTTTCAGTGATATCAGAAGACCCCAAACTCAAATACAAGCTACAAATCAATGATAGTTTTAAGTCAATCCAGACCTTAGAGGGGCTTACAGCTACAAAAACATTTCTTTCCAAAGAGTAAAAAAAGAAAAAGACAATTAGTACTATAAAACTTCCTCTTCTACGAAAGTGCTATCCAACAATGAAATTTAAGTATCTGCACTGTAATCTCTTTCCTTCCACTGTAAAAATTAAGTTACAGAATGCATTAGAAAGATTGAGAAGATAATAGCATACTTATGCGCTTCTTTTCTTCACTTTTTTTAATCGATTCTGAAGTTTGGCCGCTTGATCCATTATCATTCTTCTCATCTTTACCTTCTATTTTCTTAGTATCCTTGCTTTCTTTTTTTTCAGATTTGTCAGATGACCTTTTCTCTTCTTTTTTGACAGAGGCTTGTGTCCTGACCATACCATCCCACACAAGAAAACAGAATGAGAACTACTTCATCAACGTATAAAAAATCTATGTGCTGTTTATCAAAAAAGTAAGTCCTTACTTGCTACTCCTATCACTTGTGCTTTTTTTGTCTCCAGAACTTCTTGAAGTACTCTTTTCATCATTTTCTTTCTTCAATTCTTTCTTAGAAGGATCACCTTTAACCTGAAAGATTTAAACCAGAAAAATAATCTGAGTTTTAAAGTTACATTTTTACAATTATAAAAAGTACGTTGATGATAGAAAATTTAGAAAGCATAATAATAAAAAGAAAAAAAATGTAAAAATAAAAATCATTCCAAATTCTATATACTACCAGTGTAGCATCTTAAAATTAAGAATTACTAACACTCAGAGTAACTTCCCTTTTATAAAGTTAGACAAACTTACTTTTTCAACAGATATCAGTTGTCCATGCAGCTCAGTGCGATGAAGATGTGTAATACATCTGGATACCTCTGTGCTTGAAGACATAGTTACAATGCCATAGCACTTTGCCCCAGGACTTCGAGCATTTGTGACTACCTTTGCACTCAGAACCTGAAAAATGAAATCATACTTTAGAAAATCTTACAACTACACACATTTTTAAATAGAAGAAACTTTAAAACTGAAAATACTTCAACTAAAGGATATTTTAGGGTATATAAATTCAGGACAAATGATCAATTTAAGATATATATTACTAGGTAGTCAGAAAAGTCAAGATGTATTTTTTTCTTTGAAAAACAGAGAAAATGAGTCATGACTTTTCCAACAACACAATATTCTGTGTTACATACTGAGGATTGCCATCTACCTTGCTTATAAGTACTTAAATATTCAGGGGAACAATTTAAAGTATAGAAAGGCAATTTAATTCATTAAGTATTTTCTTCTTTTCAAATACATAGTCAAAGCACAATTATTTGTATCAGTGAAGTAATGGTAAAATTAATGAAACAAATAAGATTGTCGATTAAATTTGGGTCCAAATTTACCTATCATAGGCCCACCCTGAATCTGTTAGAGAAGAAAATAAGGTTAAGTTTCTAGAAAGTTTTTTAGATGAGCATGAACATAGTCCTATGAGTCACTATAAGAAAATTTCAAAATGAATTATTCAGTCACATGTTAAAAAAAAAAAAGCAGCTGTAAAAATATACCCTGAATACACTTCCCACTGAGGGTTTTTTTTAATTTATACCAATATAAAAACGACAACTTCCATTCTACAAAATGAATTATTATGAGAGACAAGCCAAGAATGGATGAGTGAGAAGGAAAGTGAGAGAATAATCAAGAATAACACAGACACAATGCCAGGAAGAAGTAAATAGGGAATTTAGAAAGTTGTATGATGTGGCTGGTTAGAAACTATCAGCTTTTATGTCAATTCTGGAAAAGGTTAACTTGCCCCCAACAGTGATTTAATTAGAAGCTGAAGATCTTGCTGCCAAGCTCATGATAGCTTTACATAGATTCAGTCCTAATAAATGCCAACATTAAAATATCATTTTAATGAAAACAGAACAAAAAATATACCAAACACTATAATTCTCAATGTTCTGATCTGACAACTATAACAACCACCTTAATACCCAGCCAACTAGTTAAAAAAAAATTCCCAAGATCAAACAGATATTTATAACATTCATTAATGACTACTTACCTATATTGGTCATTAACTTAATAAATATTTGAAAGTCTACCAAATGCCCACAAAGTACAGTAGAGAAGCACCCTACTCTCAAGGAGTTTACACCATAGGTTAAATATGATGCATGGTGAAAACTAAAATGTAAAAGTATAATGAAAACTAAAACATAAGGGAGAAAGGACAGAGCTCAGTTCAATAGTTAACTGAATATTATCGAATATTGTTGTCTTACTTTAGGTCTCCCCTTTATATGCCAGAGAAACCTTTCCTGAGGCACCAACCACAGTAAAGATTCCTCTTTAATCTACTGGCATTCCTGTTTCACAGCACACCTCACAGTTTCTGGTTAACGTATATTTTCCCCCAACACTGTAATGAATCTGCATGATAGAGGCTATGTCAGTTGTAAGTTTCTTCCCCAATACTGTATGCCTAATATTAATCTACCTATATTTTCCAGCTGACCAAATTTGCCTTTGCAACACTTGGTGCTAAAAAAACCATGATTAATGTGATGAATAAAACTCAGTTCCTGGTTAAAATGGGGTCAAAATATGAGCTTTTAATACAAAGATCTTTAGAGCTCAGAGTGAGATTTTATGATAAAACTCACCGTTACCATAGAACTCAATAATTATGCCTGTAACAGTCCTAAGAGAAACAAGAAATTAGAAGATTTTACACTATACTGCTTTATATAGAATCCCTATTTCCAATGGAGACACAAAAAGATAAATAAAAAGGTAAGAAAAGTGTACCTTTCCATATTTGCCAAAGAGGTTCTTCAAATCAGCAGCTTTGGTATTAGAAGAAAGTCCACTAACCCAGATATTTTTAGTTGAGCTTCCACTGCTACCACTTGTACTACTTGTGCTTCCTAGAACAGATTTATTATTAGATGTCTAAGTATCTAAATTGAAGTTTTTCCACAAAATTATTAGGGACATGTTCTTTCTCATTTAATTTTGATAGTACATGCTTACTATTATCAAAATTCTATGATTTTGCCATTAAAAGTAAATACATTTAACTATACAACTAGCAAGGAAACAAATCTGAGTGAACATCTGTACACTTCCTACTGTATGAGTTTTAAGTTAAAGTGGGTTAAGAAATCAATTACATGTCTTGGATTTTTGCTGTTGCTTAATAATTTATACTATATCACTGTACTCGGTATAGGCTACCAGGAAGCAATTATCTACGAATCTGACTACTTAATTATCCACATTCTATTGTGGGCTTCAGATCCTGAGAAATTTAGAGTGCAAGAGGGACAAGTTACAATAAGGGATGAAAACTGATTTCAAGAATTTAATGTTCAATAACAAAGACTAACAAACCAGTTCATCTTCATTCTCTATTAGACAATGAATAAGAGAAAATGGGAATTATATGCAGCTGGATAACCCTGCATTTAATAAAAAACAATTTTCTAAAACAAATCAATTATAAGATCAGAAACCTTAAAATCCTTTAAAATAGGTAAATGGTTATTTATATGAAACATTTCTGTACTATTTCCATGCAGAAATTAGTGTCTTACATACAGATGCCATTTTTTAGAATATAGGCCTGGTCAACCTTCAGTGCTTCTCTTCAAATGTGCTATTAAACTAGGAGAATTTTCATTCATTTGACTTTATTTGTAAAACAATTCTTACCCATTTTAAGAAACAATACATAAGCAATTAAAAGGTAACAATTTTTATAACTTCAAATTATTCTATGTAGAAAGAGTAACTTTTCAATTCTTTTTAAAAATTATGTAAAAAGCTTCTCTCAGTGTTGACAACATATACCAGACTCATTTGAAATATTAAGAATAGAAATGCATTCATCAAAGAATTAATTTTTTAAGTTATATGTTTTTTAAGATTAATTTTTTTTTAATTTTATTTATTTATACAAGCACTGGGGTACAGGCCAGAGGTGCGGGTGGGTGAGAGAATTCACCAGAGACAGAGCAGAGAGCAGAATAGGCAGAAGGACCGAAGTACACTGCTGAGGGGAGCAGCGGCCAAGACAGGAGGTCTGCCTTGCCATGTGGGAATCTCCTTGGCCGGCAGGGAATCGAACCGCTGCTGCAAGGGTGCAGACAGCTTCACAGCACTGCGCTCAACCCTCTGTGCCACTGGGGAGGCCCCAGATTAAAATTTATTTTAATTTCTTTTTTTTTTTTAAGATTTATTTATTTCTATACAAGAGCTGGGGTACAGGCCAGAGGCGTGGGAGGGTGAGAGGATTTACCAGAGACAGAGTAGGGAGCAGGACAGGCAGACAGACCAAAGATGCTGCTAAGGAAAGCAGCGGGTGAGACAGGGGAGGTCTGCCGCGCCATGTGGGAATCTCCCGGCCTGGAATCGAACCGGCGCTGCAAAGGCTGTGGACAGCTTCATAGCACTGTGCTCAACCAGCTGCGCCACCGGGGAGACCCTAAATTTATTTTTTCATAGAAGAACTGGGGCATAGGCCAGAGATGGGGGGAAGTGAGAGGGTTCACCAGAGACAGATTAGAGAGCAGAACAGGAGGATCTACTGAAATACACTGCTAAGGGGAGCAGCAGGCAAGATAGGAGAGGTCTGCTGTGCCATATGTGGGTCAGCTCCCTGGCAAGGGATCAAACTCAGGCCATAGTGGTGAAAGAGCTGAGACTTAATGCCTAGGCCACAGGGAGGCCCCAAAGAATCTATTTTATCTTATAAAATGTTTAAGTTTGTGTTGCTTTTTTGTGTTACAGGTAAACATTTGAGCTAGGTATTACTCTAATTACAGGGAAAAAAATTTAATAATAGGAAGAAGTTAAATTTAACCAAGACTACTAAGGGCTAAATTTAAAGGATAATACTTATAAATTTAATTATAGCTTATTCATTAACCAAGACTGTAAGGGACATGGGCACTGCAATTGTCAATTACTAAATCAATTACTAAAATTTCCAGCTATTAAAATATGGCAACAAAATTAATTAAATCAGAGGATACATCCTTTAGTCACTCAGGAGGCATTTCAGAATTTCACAGTACCTGAACAGGTAATTTCCCTGAAAATGCTTTTATAGAAAAGAAGTATTTTTTAAGAAGACAGCATATGTATGAGATGAAACTACAGGGCAAGGCCATGAAGTAACGAGAGACTACCCAATAACAGAAAGCAATCAAATATTTAAGCTTATGAGTCTTTAAAATAAAACCTTCTTACATCAAACTTTCACCCAAAGTAAGCTAAATTAGAAAGTAAACCCTGAACACTAAAATACTATAGACTAGTTATATTAATAAGTTTGCCTTACTTTAATGAATGAAAAAGGCAAACAAATATTAGAGACATTTTCCTCTAATACCAGACTCCACAAATATACACAAGTATTATTTATATCACATTTCCTAAGAGACAGAACAGGGTAAAGGTTGTGTTGGTACGCAGAGGTCACAAATGACTGCAAGTAAATTTAACATAATTCTGAAATTATAATGTGAGAAAATGAAATACCTAATGAATTAATATTCAAAAGTTGCTTACAACACAATGTTAAAAACACACACCAAATAAATTTTTGGCACACTCATACCAGTAAGTAAATAGTGATTGCTTCAATATACCAAGAGTTTATTGTAGCAAAGATCATCCCGACATTTTTAGTTTGTCAGCATTTAAGGAATAAATATCAAAGAAAACCCCAGGCAATTATTAGTTTTTAACAAAAATATGCAATGTTACAAATTACATAAAAAGGAAAATATTCATTACCTTTGTCATCTTTGGATGTTGTCTTGTTGTCTTTAGATTCCTTTGAAGAGCTAAAGAAGCAAATTACCAGAAGAAAATTGAAAACAAAAAACAAAAACAAAAAATCCAAAAATCGAACAGCTTGATATAGACTGTATTTCAGACTAGTGCTAGTCACACAAATTAACAATTCCAAAGGCCTAGATTAGGTTATTTGAACAAATGATTCCCTTAGGATTCTTGCACTGATTTTCCCCAAGATGCCTGAAGATCTAGATTTTTCTGACAATTCTATTCAGTGGATATATGGCCATCTTCTCCAGATTTCAGGACTGGGACTTGACTTCATTTTGTGTTCTTAGGACTGATAGTTGTTCATTAACCATCATCACAAGGATTTTTAAAAATAAAACACAAAAAATTTGTCAATTTGAAAAAAACAAAAACAAAAACAAAAACAACCAAAAAAAAAAACCAAATATATGCTGACATTTCGACAATGCAATCAGTAGGACACACTGCATATTACGAAGATCTTGAAAATTTTTTAAAGTAACTTATGACGGTCAAAAATATTATAGGCAGGATCATAAGTACTAATTACTGTACATGGTCTTGAAGCCACCCCCTTAATGTAGAGTGATCTTATTGAATGCTGGAATTCAGTATCGTAAAGAACTGACATAGAAAAACAAACCTCTTTGCTTGACCAGAGGCCCCAGTAGACGAGGGCCCTTTCTTCAAAGTATCCTTTTCTTTGTCTCCAGATTCTGCTTTCTTAGAACTTTCTCTGGCTTCCTTCTCGACAGGATCACCCTTCACGCAGTCTTCCTTCTTACCATCTTTATGGTTCGCATTCATCTCATAATCCTTGCTTTCCTTCTCCGGGCTCTGTGCAATGGCGTCCTGCCCATCTTTTGGCTTACTTGCTTCAGAATCTGTAATTTTCACATTTTTACCTGTTTCTAGGAGGTCATCACCATCAAAATCCAGAGTGATGGCATCTTCAGCCTGGATTGTGACCGAGATGTTGTCATCCTCAGCTTCTTTCACAGTCGCATTAGCTTCCATCTCTTCATGAGCTGTGTGATCAGCTTCAGCTAGGTTCCCTTCTGAAGGAAGAGGTTTAGATACTTCTTGTGTACCATCACCAGAACCTGCTATATCTAAGAGGATTTAACAGGAATAAATATGGCAAAACAAGAAGTTTAAACAATTTCATATTCATAAGCTAGAATAGGACCTAGAAAATATAAAGCCAGTTATTAGCACTGATGGAAGATCAGGGGGAAAAAAACACAAGGGTATTAACTAACATAAACAATCCTTTACCCAGGATCACTTATTCTTCATGGAAAAAATGATTTCTACATACAAATACCAAACAACAAAAGGGTGGATGGAAATGGTTCCATGCTGATGATACCAGTTCTTCATTTCTGGTTATAAGTTAATGCATATAGAAGACTTTTATCCTTCATGAGATAATGGAAAATGTGCAGAATTGTTATTCAATGTTCCAATCATCTTGGGATTTAACCCTGGCGACCTTCTGAACTCCCATGGTGACATCTTGAAAGGTCACAGTCTGAGGATGTCAGTCAGTCTTCAGAATATTTCAGGGCAACTTTTTCACTCTTCTTATCCAATTCTTGGGTAGTCCAGAATCATACAGAAAACTGGTACAGAAGGCTCCAAAGATGGCCTGCTTCGTAACGTTCAGGAAATGGGTTATTTCCAGTCTTCATCCTGTCCAGTCAGTCCCGCAATTACCATTTTCAAAGATGTCTTCCATTCCCCCAAAATAGAAAGGCTTCAGGCATATGAGATTTTCAGTCAGTATCTTTGCTTCATCATTGCTTCTAGACTTTTCATTCTGCCTTGCTCAGAACCCTGTTCCATGTCCTTTCTAGTCCAAAGTAGGATCCTTATTCTTTGGCTTCTATCCAAGCACTCTGCCATGATCTTGTACCGACCACGTTTTACTATTACTGTAATTGTACTGGATGAGACAGCTCTCAAACTACTATATAAAGTTTCTCTAAGCAGCACATGAAAGTCAGTCTCCTACTCACCCACCCTTTTTAGGACGAGTTGGAAAATTCATTACCCATTACACAGAAGGATTCCAATAAGCACACACAAGTTTACTGCAGTGCCAGTCTAAGGATGTAGTCAACTTACCGTATGCTAGAAGTTATTTTAAAAAATAAAATTAAAATTGGGTTAAATAGAAAATGGCAGTGCCCAACAGTAACTGATATGTACCATTTAGTTAGAACATATCTTAATTATAAAAAAGAAAATTAAAATCAATTGAAAAATAAAACCAAGGTGCTAACTTAATTCATTAAATTGATAAATTTGAAAACAAACTCATTTCAAAAAAAAGATTTCAACTAAGGAATGTTTTCACATAATTTACTGTTTTTCTAAATGTGAACAATTTTAAAACTCTACTTAACATCAAACATACCTTTCTCAGTTTCTTCTTCCTCACCATCCTAAAATTCAAAGAATAAGCAAATGTAAATAAATTCACATAAAACTGGATTTTAGTAAGAGTATAAAATCAGTCAAATTAAATTTGTCTATATTAATTAGGGATACCTATCACTGACAAATACAGGATTTGCCAATCAGAACAAGAACCCATTTAGAGAAAAGTCTGATAGTTAGAATTTTAGGTAAGAAACAGGTATATCTGCCAATGATTAGCTAAATAATGAATTTTATTAGTTTCAGTACTCAAAGCTACTTCATGTAACTCATATATAACTCGACTCTTTTATCAAAAAGCTGCCAATAAAAAAACACTGACCTGATTATTTTGCAATTCAGTTCAAAAGCACTCTTAGGACACACTATTAAAAATATTACCAGAAAGTATAACCTGAAGACATATACTTTGAAAAGACTGAATGCATATTAATAAACAACCAATAAATACTCCCTTTTGGGGCACCTCAGAAGTGAGAAGAGTAGTTAATTTCAAATTATTCATTTCTTTTAATCTGTTAAAAATGAATCAATAGTGTCACATATACACTGGTAGCTATTAACATAAAATTATATTTGTGCATCAATACAAGTTAACGCTTACATTTTTAATCAAAACAAGTTAACTCTTACATTTTTAAAAATGATTTAAATTTTAAAAGATGTAATTATTTTCACCTTGCAAACAGGAATATATAAAGGGAAAATCTTGGGGCCTCCCTGGTGGCACAAAGGGGTTAAGTCTCAGCACTATCAAGCTATGGCCAGCCACTGCAACATGAGTTTGATCCCAGGCCAGGGAGCTAACCCACATAGCAAAGCATACCTCTCCTGTCTTGCCCGTTGCTCCCTTCTGCAGTGTATTTCAGTAGATCTGTCTGTCTGCTTCCCACTCTGTCTCTGGTGAATCCCCCTACACCTCAAGCCTATACCCCAGTTCTTGTATGCATAAATAAAAATGTCTTAAAACAATAAAAATAAAAAATAAAAGGGAAAATCTTTACTAAGCAAATACTGCAAAGATCATTGAAGTAATCATAGCATGACAGAACCAACAATTTTCTCAAATTTAATATCATAATGAACAAGCAAAGTAATAAGCATTATAATCTAAAAATTGGACAAAACTGTAAGGGATGTTTTAATTTGTAACTTTTATTTTTTTTTTTTTGTTTTTTTTTTTTTTAAAGAATGAAATTTTTTTTTTTAATATTTATTTATTTATACAAGCACTGGGTGCAGTCAGAAGCGCAGGAGGGTGAGAGAATTCACCAGAGTCAGAGCAGGGAGCAGAACAGGCAGAGGGACTGAAGGACACTGCTGAGGGGAGCAGCGGGCGGCAGGAGAGGTCTGCGCGCCATGTGGGATCCTCCGCCGGTGGCCGGGGAGCAGCCGGGGATCGAACCGGCGCCGCAGAGGCTGCGGGCAGCTTCGCAACCCAGCGCTCAACCGCTGCGCCACCGGGGAGGCCCTAATTTGTAACTTTTAAAATGAAAAATGAGAGTAGTAGATCATTTTCAGTCAAGGTGGTGTGAAGTTACCATATACAAAGCCTAAATAGTAGTGCTATTCCACTGCTGAGTCCAATCATAATCCCCTGGAGGGCTTGTTAAAACACAAGATTGCTGAGCACCAACCCCAGTTTCTGATTCAGAAGGTGTGGAGTGAGCTTCAGACTTTGTATCTCTAACACGTTTCAGGTGATGCCGATGTTGTTGGCCCACACTTTAAGACTTACTTAGAGTTAAAGAAAAATTATTTGGAATTAGCAGCTTTGTTTAAGATTTTTAAAATTTGAACTAAATAAAACTTTGAAATGGCATATATCTTAGAACACAATTTTATAGTCACATAAATGCACACATTTCTGGGACCTCCCTGGTGGTGCAGGGGTTAAAGTTTCAGCACTCTGAAGCTATCACCAGCCACTGTGATATGAGTTCAATTCCCAGCCTGGGAGCTAACCCACAAGACGCAGCAGACCTCTCCTGTCTTGCCTGCTGCTCCCCTCAGCAGTGAATTTTAGTAGATCCGCCTGTTCTGTTCCTCACTCTGTCTCTGATGAATCCTCTCACCCCCATACCTCTGGCCTACATATGTACATACATACATACATACATAAATGCATAATAAAAATTAAAAAATGCATCAATAAAAATAAATATAAAAATATGCGTGCATAAATAAATAAAAATAAATCTTTTTTTAAAACAAAAGCACGCATTTCTTTAAAATGCCAAATATTTTACCATATGCTCAAAATCATACTGGTAAAAATCATATTTCTAAGTAATCATTTAAAAATGATTTTTCAATTTTAAGCTATTTAGGGAACAATCAATTGCTTCACACACCAAAGTAACACAAAGGGAAACTAAAAATGCTATGAAAAACTAAGCCATAAGCTTAGGGAATAAAATAATACAAAACGAGTAAATTATTGGTTGATAGAAATATGAGTCCTATCATTACGTAAGTATACTGTGCTCTCATAATTTCTTAATAAATTATTATACTGAAATTTAATTTTAATCATTACGCTCCTAGTCTGCAACATTTGGAAGGTAAAGAAAAATGCTTTAATTTGGTTAAGTGTGGACCTCCCCGGTGGTGCAGCGGTTGAGCGCAGGGTTGCGAAGTTGGCCGCAGCCTCTGCAGCGCCGGTTCGATCCCCGGCTGCTCCCCGGCCACTGGAGGAGGGTCCCACATGGTGCACAGACCTCTCTTGCCGCCCGCTGCTCCCCTCAGCAGTGTACTTCAGTCCTTCTGCCTGCTCTGCTCCCTGCTCTGGCTCTGGTGAATTCTCTCACCCTCCCGCGCTTCTGACTGCACCCAGTGCTTGTATAAATAAATAAATAAATCTTTTAAAAAATTTTTTTGGTTAAGTGGCAGCAAAGAAAGAATGCGGTATGTTGGAATCACAGATAAATCTTTGTTCTCCAAGTTATCTTTTACTTTAGCAATTGCTCTTGGAGGAATACTTTGGAACACCTGAACTTTTATTTAAAAGCAGACAAAAGAAATTAAAGAATGCAACTTGCCTCTCCTTTTTCTACCCATATGCCAACAGCATATTACTCAAGAGATACCATACTAATACGTTCAAGGAAAGAAATGGCAAAAAGTACTTGTTATTTTTAAAAGTAAAGCCAAACTTTAAAAATACTATTACATCAAAACAAAATTTCTTTCTGATGTAGTTCCCCTGCCAGCCAGAAATGTTATTTCCAATTGCTAAACTGGTAAAGTTTTAAGTACTTAAACTCATTATTCAACATGTTTTCTGAAGATTTCATAATTTTCTATTTTCAAAATACTGGTAACATTAGCTCATTACATATATTTAAATGATCCTTATTAAAGGGGTCTACCCAGCTTCTAGAAAACAACCAACATTAGTGATAAATCACCAAAAAAACAATTAGGGTAGCAGAAAAAAAAAAAGCCACACATCAGTGCATATATGTTTTACTATGCAGTATTCATAGTATGCCAGAACCACTAAAAGCCCTAAATAATCCTTGTAATAAGAAATTAGGAAAATGCAGTGGGAAATTTTTCCTGTTTAAATGACATATATGCAAAGACATGATGTGTACCCTATTTGAAACTCATTCTGTTCTACTGAAAAGTTTTTTCAGAATGAGGAATATAGTAAATAACCACAATGTGAAGCATTCTTTTAAATTAACTACTTTTTGAGTGTATCTTAGAAAAATATACCTCACACATCTGAAAATGAAGCAAATGCTCTGTAAGGTAGGTACTCATACTGATATATTTGTGGGGTGACCTACAACCCTTCATCAAATGCCAAAATTCATATACAGAGCTTCTCAATGTTTATCTAATTCTAGTGGAAGCAAAAACTAGTAAGAGACAAAGACAGGTCTATGATTTACCTCATGTAACAAAGTATTCACTAGTATACCTATTCTACTACCTAACCCTAGGTTAACCTTGTAATACATGTATGTGGCTAAGTAGGAAGGTCTCCATTGAATTCCTCCCTGACTTGTATGAAGACAGTATTCAGCCTAACTAACTTAAAATAAACCTTCAAAGTAACCCTGAACCACTAACTGAATGCTATCTATCTGGCTTTTTGCTAATGATTCTGAGAAATATAAAATAACTGTTACAAAATATGCACTCAATAAATATTTGTTGAATGAATGTACCAAATAAATATAAAACACTGCTTGTTGAAGGACTCAACTAACCATTTATATGTATGTACACTTAACTGCAGTACTGTGGAAGTATAACACAATTCAGAAAACAATATTCACTGGCATGGAGTTATTTAGTAAAAAGAATGTAGCAGACTACTAGGAATCATGAGACCTAAGTATTTATCCTGTTATTAGTGAAATAGTTATACTCTTTGATATTTTCATTTATTTAGGTGAACTTCACCTATAAAGTAGAAATTACATGTAATCTAAATATTAACAGGATTAAATAAGATAATGGATATAAAACGTTCTCTGTAGAGAGTAAAAGCACTACATATAAGAGAGACATTAGAGAAAACTTTACTATGTAGGAGATGAGATAAACCGGCTTTGAGAGGTATAAAACTCATAAATGAAAAATAGGGATTTAAGTTAGTGAAACACTAGGAGTAAAGGCAAATATAGAAGGATCGATTGAGAATAACATGAAATTTTCAATCATTAAAGCATTAGTAAATATAAATACTGTAGAGACAATTTTCCAGAAAATTCTCTAGTTACTGGTATCTTCAAGTTAGGAAAAATACAATAAATAACCACTAATTGCATAGATATCATGTGTCAGGATCTATGCTTAATCCTCACATCAATCTAGTGGGTAGGAATTATAATAATGTTCATTTACAAATGTTAACTAAGAGAACCAGTCCAAAGTCACAATATTTTAAGTAATAATAGAAACAGAACCTGAACCAAATTCTATTCAGTATGACAAAGAATCTAGAGGCTAATAATACCTAAAGGCTAAAATTGTAAGCATTAAGACAAAGTCTTAAGTCTGGTCTTAAAATAAATATATCCCTAAGCAAATATACTGCCTACTGCTTATATTTTTTAAAGTAAGTAACAGAAGAGTAAATTAAAAGTTTACCAGTAAAAGGATATGTGAAGGAGACTTATGAATAAATACCTGATCTCATAGCTTTTACTTTGGAAATGTTATTTTAAATAACTGTAACATTTGACTAAATATCCTAATATTTTCTTTTAAAATAATTATAGATTCATAAGGAATTATAGAACAAAAAACAAACAAAAAACACATAAATAATGAAAACAAAATATAACACGTTAGCCTTTTAGTTGATGATACAACAGAACTAGTCTAAAATACACAATAATCTGCTCATTTCTAAAGGGGTCCACCCTTGTATCAGATGTAACCGGGGGGGGGAAAAATCTTAAATTATTTCAGTAATCATATCAGTGGTGGTGTTGGGATAATGATTCTAAAAGCTGTATGTGTATTGTGAGATAAATACAATTATCAACTTAGAAGTATCCCTATGAACTCAAATCTATTTTATTTTAAAAGTACTAACAACAACAAAAAAAAACCCTACACATATTCTCTAGCTCTATAACACTGAAAATTCCTAGAACATTAATGACCCAGTAGCAATGAACCCCTACCATCAAGCTTATTGTCTTAAAATGCCATTTACCACTAAAAGGAAAAACAAGCTAATTTCAGGTCTGGAGCAGGAAATGGAACACTATTACATATTAGGAAATAATGAAACAATCAAAGACTACTAGGATCATAGTGAAAGAACTCAAGAGTCCATGCTAAGAGGTTCTCACTAGCTACAGATGGGACAATCGGAACATTAAAAGGATAATAACTACAATAAATTGAAATACATTAAGCACATTTAAGACCATTAGTTCAAAATGAAATAAAAGGAAAAAAAAGGAAAGATTAGTCACTAGTCACCGTTAAGGAGGATAATGAACCACCTGACTACACTGAGAATTAGTGAATAAAAGGAAAAGAATCAAATGTATATCCTGGTTTTTCTTTGTAAACTATACCACTGGGTGGGTAACCACTCAGTAGATAGTTAAGTTACCTTCCTATGAACAGTCTAGCTAAGAAGAATGAGAATTATCACCACTTTGGTAACACTAATAAATGAATGCGGTATGGATCACCAATGCCTGGCACATCACCCAACACATGTATCCAAATGCAACGCAAAGCTACCTTAAATATAACACTAACTATGAAGTAGTGATAGAGTTGGAGGGTAGGAGGGCCTGAATTGAATAAAGGAGGCTTTCGATCCTATAACAAGGAACAATTTACAGGAAATACAGTAAACATGTATGTAATCAGCAAAATCTAAAAACTCTAGAGCAGGGGTTGGCACACTACATTATTGTCCGTTTTTGTAAATATTTTTATTAAAACAGGTGTGCACATTCATTTACCTATGATCTGTGGCTGCTTCCACACTACATGGCAGAGTTGAATAATCATGACATGGACCATAAGGTCCAAAATGGCTAAAATATTTTCTATCAGGTCCTTTAAAAGAAACTTTGACAACCCTTGCTCTATGGATAAACAGCTGAATTTCTTCAACAAATAAAATGGGGCAGAAAAGATAAAGGGTAAATCTTTAGAGTAAAAGAGACCTGGTATACATTTTAATCACTCACAACATGTAGAACTTATTTGTATCTGGATTTAAACAAAACCTGTTTAAAAGAAAATCCTAACACAACTGAACATTAGAATACTAACCATATATTTGATTTTAAAAACCTTATATTAGAATTGAAAAAAAAAGAGAATATGCTGTCTTAGAGATTATGTTGAATATTTTAAAGCAAAATATGATGTCTGGGATTTGTTTTATTTATTTTTTTTTTTTTGAATTGCAAATATTTTTTATTTTTTATTTATTTATTTTTAATTTTTATTTATTTATACAAGCACTGGGTACAGTCAGAAGCACGGGAGGGTGAGAGAATTCACCAGAGCCAGAGCGGGGAGCAGAGCAGGCAGAAGGACCGAAGTACACTGCTGAGGGGAGCAGCGGGCGGCAGGAGAGGTCTGCGCGCCATGTGGGACCCTCCTCTGGTGGCCGGGGAGCAGCCGGGGATCGAACCAGCTCTGCAGAGGCCATGGGCAGCTTCGCAACCCAGAGCTCAACCGCTGCGCCACCGGGGAGGCCCTGGGATTTGTTTTAAAATAAAGGACAAAGGGGAAGGTATGTGGAGGTACAGGTGAAACAAGACTGCTGTGAGTTGCTAATAGCTAAAACTAGTGATGGTTCTACTCTATGTAGCATTCCTTAATGCATAAGTCAAACAATATATAATGAATTAACGATTATTAAACATGTATAGAAGCATTAGATCATGATGGGATCCAGAAACATTTATGTTTCTAGATGTTCCACAATGCACTTGGAAAGAGGGAAAAAATCACTTTACTTAAAACTTCACTGAAGTTATATTACCTCCCTATCTTTTGTACCAAAAAAATAAATCTTGCCTCTTGGTAAGACTAAACATTTGTTCAATATGTGAAGGAAGAGGTGGCAAGGGCCATCTCTGGCCCAAAAATTTTGTGAAAATTACAAAAAGGCACCCATTTCTTAAGTTTAATTTATAGAATAAATATGCTCTATTATGTGAATGGGTGCCCTCAGAAATGATGTTTTCACACAGCTCACAATCTGTACAACTGCAGGAGTGGCCCTTGATGGAAATTCAAAGACTAGTTACTAAAGAGCATGCAGAGCTCAACTCCACCTTTTTTTGAACTAATGTAGAAAAGGTACTCTCCTCAATTTGAGACCTAGTTTTTTCCTCATCGGTTCTTCATCACACAGAAACGAACATACTTGGGAATCAGATGTGGGACAAGTCTATAGACTTTCACAGCCCCAACAAGGCTTTTCTGAATATTCTAAGTTATCAGAAACACTTCTCTCAGAAATGCAATTTCTACTCTCACTTCAATGAATAAAAGAGTCACATACAGCATCACCAGCATTTAAGGCAAGAGAGGTACAGGAAAGAAGGTATGCGCTTAGGCAATCAGCTAAGCAGTTCTTAAATATGAGCCTCACTAGATACTCATCTAGTAAATACCACAGTGAGGAAGTAATCGTGAGGAATTTTTCCTAAATCTAGTAAATAGAGGGAACTCCTATCTCTGTTTGAAAGCGTACTTCAAAAAAAAGTGGAAAAGGGGTTCTTGAGCACAAAGTATATCAGAAAAAGACAAAGGATAACCTTAAAAACAAAACAAAAAACTACCACAGAAACTGAGCTATAAATATTCAGAGTATAGGTTGTCATGCTTTTAAATGTACACTATGTGTTATATGTCAATTATATTGAAAAATTTAAAAGTTAAAATGCACACTACAGATCCTGACATTGTATATCACATATACCAATACCAAAATTTAACACAATAGAAGAGCAGACACTTTCTGTATACACATCCCAAGTTAATTTCTAAAACAGAGATTTTTATCATTTTTATACTATGTCCCTCCTATTAGGAGTGTTAACAAAATACTTAAGTAAAGCTTTGAAAAGGATATTAGTATTTCTGAAGGATTTATTTTATACCAAAGTGACAGAAAAAATTCAAGAAGGGCGTTGACATCTCAAGACTGGTAATCAGAATTAAGTTTTATAGAAAAGATTAACTGTGTTTATTTTTATTCTGAAAATGGTAGGAACCTCCTTATAATAATTTCCAATTACCTTTGTGGCAAAAGAAATTTCAGTTTCCAAATTTAAGTATTTTTATATAATGAATAAATAGCATTAAAATAAGTTTTATAAATTAAATACTTATGAATTCAAAATTAGATTCCTTTTCCAAGCCCCTCCACCCACAATTATCAAGTTCATATGACTAAATGTAAACTTACTTGGGCTGTTAGAAAGGTATCATCTTCACCTTCTTGAGCTTCAATTTCCTAGTAAAAGGGTATACAATAGCTTTGCTTTATAAAATATCTAGGTAACATGAGAATTCTTTTATGCTACACTTGATTATCACTTGCCTTGTGTTTGGTGCAGTGTCTATGATACTGTGTGGGCTCTAAGTTAATGCTTAATAATTCATGTTACTTTTTTTTAATGCCAACATAAAATTAGCCACATTAATACAGAATTAGAAAAAATCTCTTCCTTGATCCCTTCATTTATTGAGCTAGAAGTGTTTTAAGCATGGATACTAACATTTACTCCCTAGTCCACTGATGTTTTTTAAAAGATGTAGTATCATACTTCAAAAAAGGCCAAATAATGCATACCACTCAAAGATTTTTGAAATTATATGCTCTCATAATTTCCCCACCCTTGATAATACCCAAAGAAATGCAAATTACTCATTTATATCTATTAAAGTAGCAAAAAGAAGGGAAAAAAAAAAAGACCACTACCAGGTAAAGTTGGCAAGACAAAAGTGAAAATGGTATACTCATTTATAATGAGGGAGAAAACAACTTAAAGCTCAAATACCCCAAATTAAAGACGTGGCCATTAGACACACAGAAAGCAATCTAATAAATTATGGCATAATATACCAGTTATGAAGTCACACGTGAAAATATTATATAGAATAGCAACTTATAGCATGATAGCTACTATGTAAAAATAAATACAAATGTGGAAGATAAGCAAAAATTTTAAAGGTCCTCTCAGGTAGTAGGACTTTGGCTGATTTATAAATTAAAAAAGCTTTTTTTTAATCTGAGACTTCCACATTGAATTAAAAGGAAATATTTATTATAATTTAATTTATCTGAGTCATATTTCAAAAAAACTGGCTAAAGACCTGACTTTCGATGTCGTCTTTTTCTAAATCTTCTATTGCTTCTGCCTCTATTAATTCATGAGATCTCTTGTTTTCTTCTGCAGAAAGTAACTCCTTGGAATGCAAGTTTTCGTCTTCATTTTCACCAAACTCTTCAGAGTCCTTTAGTTCGTCATTTCCATCTTGTTCATGTGCCTCTTGATTCTCCAATTCACAGTCCTTTTAATGGTAAGAAAATGTGGTACAACTAGAGCAAAGTAGTGTAGGCTATCCACCAAACGTTTTTGGTAATTTATATCTCTAAAGGTTTTAAATTTTATCATTTTGACATTATTCCCAAAGTCAAAATTCAACTATTTTATCTTACATATTAATTATCTTTAAAAATAAAGGGGTCTAACAGCAAGGTCATTAAATCATGCATACGAGTTCCCAAATATCTTACACACTAATTAGATTGCCACTAGAGATGCTCTCAAATCTCAGTTATTTAGTATTTTAAAGTCACATCCCAGAAGCTGTCCTAGGAGATGGATTCAAAGAAATAACTTCATTTCTCCACATACCATCTCTTGATTTAGCTTCAAAGATCTTTTAAGTCTTATATATTATAATAGTTTATTCCTAATTAATAATAAAGAATCCCAACTATTACACCAATGGCTATTCTTAAAAATATATACAAATAATTTCAATGTATTTTTTTAAAAAGCTATCATTTCTCCCTATCATCACTTAAGGGAACTTAGGTTGGGACTGTCTCTGTGAAGGAATGTCTGTTTGCCCTTCAGTGTTTATGAATACACAGTACTTAAGCAGAAACAAAGAAAAGCAGCAATCTGTTTGTTTCCTCTTTAACTGCAAAGAAAGGGTGGAAAGCAAATGAACATTCATTTCCCCTTTGCTATTTATAGAGTAAATGTAAATTGAAGAAAAGCCTTCTGGGTTAAAAGGGGAAAAGAGGAGGGGCATGACTACTCGTTAGTCACAACTGAACTGAAGTGAGGGAATAGAAATTCTGAGGGAGTTGGTCCCAGAGAAGCAATGTAATTGTTTTGGTATGTGGAGTGTTCAGGTAGAGGGCATCTCAGAGAGAGGAGGTTTGAACAACTCACCACACAACGGTGGGGGAACTTGGGGATTGAAAATGGAGTAAGTAGTTGCATGATGGTAGAAGAATAAGTACCACCCCCACAACACCCTCCCAAAAAAGGGAAGTCATGGAGGGAACTTGATCTATTCTGAAATTCCAACAATTTTGACAATTTCCTTCATTTATAAAATGGAATTAATTCTAATACTATTCATATATCTAAGTGGCAAGTGGTATGTTTACCCACCAGTACTATATAAACTCCAAAATTGCCAACACTTGGAGGCAAGGAAAGTATTGATACAGTTACAAATGTCGTCTGATAACAGTATATTCACTTAACATATACTGATACTTCCAAAGTGAAAAAATATAAAGAAGAAACTAAAGCTGTATTTAAATAAAACTTTTTAAAAGAGCTCTTTTGTCATCCTACACATCATAACCAGGTTCATTTAATAATACAAAGGCATCCTGTACAGCACACATAAGAGACAGTACTATAATGGTGAGTAGAGGTGTATTTCTCTTCATAGCATCTCAAATGTAACATTTTTATGAACTGAAGAGCTGAAAGTCATTTGAAAATCATCTGACTTGATTTTATTGAGTCACAATGTTTTTCCAGCTTATGGATAATTTTTGCTTAATGATACACTCTAGTAAAGACTACTAGAGGATATAAGAACAAAGGAACAAACCTAATGCAAGATATACCACAAAGGTAATAGATACAGTCTGAACAGTTCTTAAAGGCTCATACAAAAGCTGATTACAGCCACACAATCATCAACTTTGAGGACTCCCTGCACAAATATTTCCTAAAGTTATCTGATTTCAGGGTTATCTCCTCAAGCATTTTTTCTCTGTGCCTGCCCTCAAGGTGCAAAGTACAAAGTGTGGGGTATATGAAATGGTGTGGTCTGTGTGTACGTAATGTGGGGAGGGAAGAGAGCTAGGCAGTATAAAGAGAAGGGTGGGTGACTGGATATGAGCTGACTTCCTGGTGGAGCCCAAAGACATACACAGATGTTATGACAATATGGACTCTGTAAACAAAAAATGGAATACACCAGAGTATAAATGTATATAAGAGCAACTATACTCTAAATAATTTTGCAAATTCACACTTCTTAAGACTTACAATCAGTAAGTAGCAAATCACATTTTATTAAAATGGAAACAAAAAACCTTATGATTAAAAATAATTTAGTATTCATAACTGCCATGACCCCAGTTAAAATCACATAATTTTTCTGGGTGATCAGTTTTGAAATAACTCTTTTTATTTTTTTTAAGAAAAAAAAAAAAAAAAAAGCCAAACCAAACCAAACTCCCCACACCCCCAAAACAAACCTGGATTATTTATCTTTAAAGGACAAAACAAATGTCTTAATTTGACCTTTACTAAGTGGCAACACATCATTTTTTGTTTTAAGGACTATATTAATCTAAGTTCTATATACTATATGCAAAAGCTAAATGCAATGGAAGGTTAAAAATAAATTATCAATATCTTTCATTGCAATATCTTGCCCAGGAACTAACATTATCAATTGTCCTGCAGCTGTTTCTCTGCTCTCAGAATGCTACTTAAAGGCCTATACAAACATTTTTAGTTTTATAGCTCATTTATCCAAAGACAAATTTATCTGCTGTATTTCTCAACTATCAAAATTAATGAGACTGACAATATTATATAAGTCTCTATTTACCCAGGTAATTTAGTATCTATCATTCAAGTAAAGTGCATGAATCCATCATGCAAAATACTAGGCTCAAAATAAACATCTCATCCTGGTGTAATTAACACTTTACCTTGACAAAAGCATCATCTTCCACAGAAGCATCTCCACTCAACTCATCTGCTTCCTGTTTTTTACCTACGAAAGAAGGAAAATGGGCTAACAACCAACACTTAATACTTTTAGAGCAAAAAACATTCAGAGTTTAACCCCGAGGTATCACTCACTCTCCACTCCCAAATCATCTGAGAAAGCTAATGCCAACTACTTGTAAACTACCTGGACATAGCTGTCCCAAACAGCTTCATTAGCAATGTCATGCTGTTTCTCAAAAATAAACTAAGCAAATAATTAATCCTACATATGAACCCATAACTGACTTGACATATGATACTTTTTTTTTACACCACTCTAATTCTCTATCTTCAATTCTCCAGAAGTAGCAGCACCCGCCAACGGTATTCTAACTAAAAACTTAACCAGATGTCTGAATTAAGATTCATAGTTCCCACAGTCTACCTGAAATGTTCCTTGTCAATTTCAGATTCCTCTGAAATTTTCACCTTATTTATACCTTACAATTGGCCAGTTGGTTATACTATTAAGTGTATTTTGTTTTACCTTTTAGAGAAGAAATTCCTTAAATACAGAGATTGCTTTTATGTGTACATTGTATTTCTCCAAAGGTGTAAGTATAAATTGTGCTGGGCTCATAACATAACGACTGATTGAACACAGCAGAAATTAGTTCAGACTGAAAATTGTTAATAGCTACCAGGTAGACTAGAGGCCTCCCTTGCCCAACCACTATCTATCAAACTGCAAACTGGTGTCTAGTACTTTAAAAATATTTTCCACAGAGCTAATGCTAAAAGTTTCTTTTCAGACTAGTCCACAAAAATCCCTTTTAATAACCTATAATGTACTCGAAATGCTATAAAAAATATAGCAGCTGGAACTTTATTTTTTGAAAATTTACTTATTTAGATATGTATTTTATTTTCTGAAGCTAACTAATTAACTTCTCTTTGCCTAAAACAGAAACTGTCACATAACTATCTCCAGCTTCTGAGTACAGGATTTAGCTGTAGGCCAAAATCAGGACACCTCCCATTTCCTGCTCCCCACACCAGTCATTCCCTTCCTTCTACTCCCAAGTTGAAACCCTGCTGTGAATGAGTGATAAAAGGAAAGAAAACAAGATACCTGGCCTTCCAGGTATGTGAAAAACAAGATTAAGAATGAAGATTTTTCTTCTACTTATAGAAGACAAAAGAGGGCTTATCCTTGTCCCTGAGGGCTTTTCTGAATCAAGAGGAACAAAGGGTGGAGCTTAGTGTGGGGGCTCCCTATTTAGAAAGTTTGAGGGTTTTTTTGTATTGTAGGGAAAATGTATTAAAAGTTACCACAAGGGCAAAGACATCAGAAAGTGTTTATTAATCTAATTTTAAAATGCAAGTAAAGAGATCCTGCTCTGAAAAAGCATATTAGGTGAGAAACAGGTCACTAAATTTTTCTATCACATTTAGAGACAGTTCCGTAATTGGGAGAAATATGTTTTTTTTAAAAATATAGGACTCTCTCCCCAACACACACACCTCTAAATAACATAAGTAGTAAAGCTTTGGAGGGAATTTCTTCAGATGATTTGCAAATATTTACTCCTTACAATTATAAATTGTTTTACAATTTGCAAAGCACTTATCCAGTTGATTTTTCCAAGCACCCTACAGTGCAAGGGGCAGGTAATCACAATTTTACAGAAGAGAAAATGAATGTGAGGGGTTAAATAACTTGCCCAAAGCTAATAGATGGTATGGTTACAACTAGAGGTCAAGAATTCCAATTCTTTCCACTGTGTCTTACTATGACCTACTTAAAAGACACTATTCTAGTAGGGAGTAGTTAATTAACTTAATTTAAAGATAGTATCTTTGAAATGGCAAACCTCAGCATAATGATAAACCATGCACACTGCATGATGAGTTCACTTGCTTTCGTTTACAGGAAAATCAAATTACACTAGGGCAACAAAAACACCAGTAGTTACTACTCCTCCTTAAGTGGTTCTTATGGTCCAAGCAGTAGGATATTTGCTTAATATATATTAATGCATTTTATTATCATTACTAATATCACCCCCGTTTTACCAAAAAAATAAAGAAATTGATGGTGATAATCTGATTACAAAACTAGTAAAGGCCGTGCTTCAATTTAAACCCAGGCCTATAAAACCCACTCTTCAAAACCCACACAATCCTTTCATATCTTTGAATAGCTACAATGTGCCAATTGTTGAAAATGTTCTTTTTTAGTGTACACAGACTCGAAAAGCCACATTTATAAAATTTTTAAATGAGACAGATTTCCTAACTTGGCCCCATGTCAACCTGGCAACAAGAGGCAGAAGTACACAAAAGGGTCAAATTTGCTACCCCTTACTGATTCCCAGCAACTGTGTCACAGAAAGCACTGGACATGAACATCAGCAGCTTGCAAACATTAAAACCATGAGGACAATATTTTCAAACATACACCAATGAAACCACAGTAATAACCTGACAGATACAAATGGTTTAAGAAAACTGAAATTTTACATACTAGCTTTTGCATACTTACTTAATCTGTAATGGGCTTGTTGTACACATGTTGAGTTAGAAACAAAACTCTAAGTTCTTCCTTTATGACAACAAAGCACCATTTCTGTCCCATTCCCAGTTTTAAAGCTATGATTTTCATCATGCATTCCAGTGCCTAGAATGATGCTGAAAAATGGGCATTATCTATTTCCTGACCACTAATGGAGTAGTCCTATGGAAGCTGCCAGTAATTAATAAGGTCTGGATTTCAATTCATTCCTCAACTGGGACAAAGAGGTGACATGCCAGTCAAAAGAGCATCATGTGTAACTCCATTCAGTCAATAAGGACTGTAAACTCCCACTTTAATGATGCCACAAATTATATCTATAGATTCCTATTTTGTAAAGTCACAGGTGAGAAACAAGAGAAGACTCAAAATCCAACAGCCACGGACAGATCTTTGTACAATCAGTAACCATTTATATTCCTATCTCCCATTTAAGCCAGTGCTATCAAAGCTCCTAGGGCAAATTAATCAACAGTTCCATCTCTTTTGTCCTTGAGAGAATTTAGCATATGCTACAAAAATGTGAACTAGTGCAAAGGACAGTAGCACAAACAGGTTGAAGTCGCTAACTGAAAGGTAGTAACTGAAGTCTAACTTTAATGCTTTGAGGAAAAACTGGACAATACAAATAGTGTGAATAACAAAATACAAATGGAAGTAAAATTAACTCATCACATCTTCAACTATTATAGTTGAAATACATGGCTATTTGAAATTACACAAAATTCACCATAGTTTGTGTGCGATTTTAGGGCAAAACAATAGCACAGTAAAAATGTACATACATACATGAAAGAAGGATGACACTAGGGCCTCCCCGGTGGCGCAGCGGTTGAGCGCTGGGTTGCGAAGCTGCCCGCAGCCTCTGCAGCGCCGGTTCAATCCCCGGCTGCTCCCCGGCCACCGGAGGAGGGTCCCGCAAGGCTCGCAGACCTCTCCTGCCGCCCGCTGCTCCCCTCAGCAGTGTACCTCGGTCCTTCTGCCTGCTCTGCCCCCACCCCCCGCTCTGGCTCTGGTGAATTCTCTCACCCTCCCGCGCTTCTGACTGTACCCAGTGCTTGTATAAATAAATAAAAATAAATCTTTTTTTAAAAAAAAAAAGATGACACTAAAAAAACTCCGTATTTGTTATACATAAATTTTTAGAGGTCCCTGAACCCTTAATGAAACCTCTGTAGCCAGACATTTGTCAGAATTAAGAATTTTCAGATTTTAGAAGAGCTAAAATGGTGTAAAAATCATTTATTAATTTAAACCTGCCAATGATCTCTGGAACAGTGTTTCTCAATCACAGAAGTGTTTATGCAATGGAATATATGCATGTTCACATTGTTAAGGGAAAGGATGTCCTGAGCAAACTCCCTACAGGCTTTGTGGACTCTACCCCAAGACACTGGAAACTACAAATCCCAAGATCACCAAAGGGAAGGTTGCGAGGACCTGAGGGTGGAGTTAAGCAACTAGGCTCCTGGTTTGGGTATTTAACTGGCCTTGTGGCCAGGGGTCGGGGGCTTGGCCTCCAGACGTGCTAGGTTTTGGCCAGCTCGGCGAGTCATTGGGATTCCAGGTCAAAGAAACGGGTAGGACGCATTTACGAACTTATCTCCCTCTTTTTCTCCCTGAGTTATTCATTTCCCCTTCCCTTGTAAATAAAACCTTTTATCAACCTTTTGTGTATGTCTGCAGTTTAGCATTAATAAGTCCCTTTAAGCGTGCGGGTGAGGACCCACAGCCAGGCAACCCCATTTTATATCAGGGTTTGCCCTGTAGCAACATCAAATGGGATAAATCAAAAGTAGAAACAGCCTCATTTTTGCCATCCAACTTTTAGTTTTCAGAATTTTATTGTAGAATTATGAATAAAGCATTCCTCCAAATGCAACTGATTTTATAAGGGTTTGCAATTTTCCTTTCAAATTCAGAAATAGCTCCCAAATTAAAGCCAAAAAAAAAAAAACCACCCACAACAACAAAAAAAACCTTAGTAGGTCTTAAAGCAAATTTGCCAAATATCTTTGTGGCTGAGTAACTTTACCCCTTAAGCATTCACAGGAGCAAAGAAATGTAGGAAATGTTTAGACAAAAATTTTCTGCTGAAGAGAGGGGGAAGATTCTGAGGCTAAGCCAAAATGAACATTAACGCTTCCACCAACAACCAAATGGCATGCAGTATCTTGAAGTGAACACCAACTATGCCTGTGTTAATTGTCTGCATGTGCTTTAGCTCTCTTCTATCAAATATTACTAATGAAATCATTTTCTAAAATGCCATGTACATTGTTTTAAACCTAACAGTCATTCAATAGGTCATTTTATTATTTTTTTTTGAAATCAACTATGAAGAAAATTCACTCACTATAATAAATCAGGAAAACATCAAGTGTTTATTTTTAAAAATCCCTTATCTAAAAATAACCAAACTAAACACACACACACACACACACACACACACACATGCTTTTAAAAGGCAGCAAAAACAAAATTAAGTT